GTGACAAATATAGTTTAATGTATAAATTTTATTTCTGGCATTCCCTCCAGTTCTTAGAATAATTACAAATATATAAAAAATAATTTGGAGTACTTGAATTATCTTAATTAACTTTGTAAATTTTGTTATTAATTCCTAATGCCAGTAACATCAAATATCAATAACAACATTAGCTAATATTCATTTTTGGGCTGCAATTTGAAAAATTCTAGACCTATAAATTTCCACTGTTGTTCATCTATCCATTGTCTGTCTGTCTGTCTTTCCTTAATCTCAAGAACGGTGTTAGATATATGAAAATCAAGATCAGATATGGAAAGCTTAGGGGCAAAAGGCCTGATTAACTATTGGGTTGTTCAGAAAGTAATTTTGTTTTTTTTCTGTGGGAAAAAAAACAATATTTTTATAATAAATAAATATTTTGTTGAATTATTTATCGACCATTTTGGTCAAATATTTGTTGTCATCGTTTCCGGTAGTAGCATGATTTCACATTCATAAAAGTTTTGATCATTGCTTATAAAAAACTGATCCAAGTGATTTTTGACATTATCATTTCAAGTAAATGTCTTACAGTTAGAAAAAAATTGTATAGACCGGAACAAGTAATAATCTGAGTGTGCTTGATCTGGCGAGTATGGTTGGTGTGATAGCAAGTCCCATCTAAGTTATAACAGTTTCTGATGAGTTACCAAACTTGTGTGAAATTTGACATTATCATGGTAAAACACTACATTTGTTTTGTTGATCAGTTCTGGCCCCTTTTCTGTTTAATGATATTACTCGATTTGTTTACTCGATGGCAGTACACTTTTGAATCAATTGTTAAATTGTCTGGTAAAAGCTCCAAAAAAAAATTTCCTTAAAATCCCACCAAAGATAGCATCTCTCTTTAAGAACATGTGGAACCCATATATCAAGCTTTGAAACGAAACCAATTTGTTTGAAGTAATCATAAACAGTTCAATTTGACAAATTTAATCTCTTAGTGATTTCATGTGTTGTTATTCGGCAGTTTGCTTCAATCAGTATCTTTATTTTGTTTTCATACGTGGTGCATCTTCAATATTGAAATAGCCAGAACGAAATTTTGTAAACCAGTTTTGGCACTGTCGTTCTGTCAATACATCTTCTCTGTACACGTCACACAATTTTTTTCTCGCTTGAACAGCATTCTTACCTTTTCGGTAATAAAAAAGCAAAATACACTGAAAATGCTGCTTTCGATCTTCCGTATTTGATGGGACACAAAATCAAACAAAATTTTTTACAAATAGGCCTTAAAATGCTAGCTGTCAAAATATATAATGATAATACGGTTTAGAATGAAAATGGCGGAAAAAATACGACTAATCCGTCCAGTGGTAAAAAAAATAAAATTACTTTCCGAACAACCTAATATATGAACATCTGATGAAAACTGGAATTCACATTATTTCAATTCAAAAATTTTCCTCTGAAAGAAATTAGATAGACGACTGACACAACTTTATTGTTAACAGAAAAGTATGATGTACAGGGGTAAGATACTACAGTACTCAAGATTAAGAAAAAACAGATGGACAGATTACAATGAAAATTTATATTTTTCAATTGTTTTCATATTGCAGCCCAACAACCAAATAAAAGTTAAACTGAATTATGGTAAGTAAAGATATCTCAAGATTAAAAAATTCTACAAATAATATACTAAAATAGAAAGTTTAAATTTCAGTAGTAATTTAATGTTTTAAAATATTATTATTCTTTAAGTATTACTAAAAAATTAACATACAGATGACTCTAGAAAACATCAGCACTAGCAAAAATTCAAAGTAGATAGAAAGCCACCTATCTCTAGTAAAAATTACTTAATATCCTATTAATTAATTAGCCATATTATAGCCCAATAAGAATCTGGCTGTATCATTTGAATATTTCACTAAATATTCTGTTTGTTACATTTTACTTTTCTAAAAACTACCAACATGATATACTCATTTACTCATGATATATTCATTTGCTCAAATGAATGAAAACATTTTTTTAATTCAATAAAATTTAAAGGTTCATGAAAGTTTTAAAGTCTAAAGACAGAAATATATTACAGGTATCCCTTGTACAACACGATAATTCTACAATACAGTTTGAAAATTGGGAAAATTCCCTATATGACACAGTTTCTGCTTTTACTCTGACACAGTTTCTGCTTTTACTCTGACACAGTTTCTGCTTTTACTCTAACACAGTTTCAAGTACTAAGGAAATTTTTCAAACCAAATTTCACAATTTTTAAGTGCAAACTCTGTTATCCAATATTTTTTTTATTCAAATAAGCATGTATGTCATCTCAAACTTGCACATGGATTTTAGGATATTAAAATTTTCAATTTATTTTGTATTTTTCATCAGATTTATTTTAATGAAAACTGTTAGGACAAGGAAGAAAAAAATTTACTAATTTCCCTATCAACCAAGTATTGTTAATGCTGTTTTCAGACATTAGCATTTAAAACTTTCACTGTGTTTTAGTTTTATTGATTAACAACAATTACCTAAAAATGTTTAAATAGACTTTACTAAATACAAAGATTAAACTTTTTTTAATTTAGGTAAGTAATCATTCGAAAAATGATGAATGAAATAAGATGGTATCTCAGTACTGAAACTTGAATACTGAGATACCACCTTATAACAACTTGAAGAATTTGGTATTCAAACACAAATTCTGGAGAAAATTCACTCAGTACTCAACTGAACAAATGAAGGCAACCTAGAACAAATTTTCATTTAATAACATATTTTTATTTTGTCATTCATAAAAACTTTTTATGATAAAAATAAGAAAAATGGAGATGTTGCTGATATTTCAGACCAAGATCAACAAAAAAGCTTAGATGAAGATGATACTTTGTGAAAATAAAATACCCTCACTTAACTAAAATTAATCTTAACTGCTAATACAGTACTTTTAATGGTGATTTTTAATTAATTATTGATTGGAAATAAATTATTGATTGATTAATGTACTTCTCTTAATAATGAAAAAGAATAGTATACATCTTGATATGTGCTTCATCCTTAATTACTTACATTATACTTGTGTCCACTTTGCATGTTCTTGTGAACTAGAACTTCTTATACTGAGAGTTAAGAAGTCAGTACAAGAAGTCCTAATTCACAAGAATGTCCGAAGTGGACACAAGTATAATAATAGCATATTTTTGTTAACTTTTGGAACCTAACTCATGTTTCCCATTAGTCCTTTGTTCAGTCTAACATGGATTTGTATAACATGGCACTTTTTCAGAATATAACTATCATGTTATATGAGGAATACTTTTAATAATGTTTTTATTCATGTACAACATCCATCTTTTGATAATTCTGAAATAAACAACACCAAATGTCTGAAATACTTAATCAGTTATCAAAGAAACAAAATTAATAATTTGTAGTCAGCTATTGCATTTTATTATTTTTCACATTTTTATTTACTCAAATTTTTTGCAATTCCTCAAAAATCTTTCCAACTTTATAATATGCAAAACATTTTAAAATTTAAATTTGCCAAGAAATGAATTGTTTTTTTTATTATCCAAAGAAAGTTTTCCAAATAAAACATTTTATTAGCTGGATCATAATAGTTGAAAGAACACTTTTAAGTTAAGATATTCAATTTCTATTTGATAGTTTCAATATCAAATTGATTGTAATGTAAGACAAATAATAAACTATAAAAACTTAAGACTTATAGAATTTCTTATTCTAAACATATATAACAAATGATTTGGAAATATCTGTCATAGAAACTCAATGTATAATATGCTGATAAATTAATATGAAAAATATTATAATAGCTCAAAATTTCTTCAAACTTAGCTCAAATAGCTTTTGTGATAAAGATTTTTAGTATCAATCTTCTTTGCAGAGCATATTTTCAGTGATTTTCATAAATGAAAACATTTGGATTTATGAAAATCTCATTCGCTTTACATTTTTTCTTCTCTCAGTCTTTCCAAAATACTTTCCCCATTCTGTCTCAATATTATGAAATACTGTCTCTTCCATAAGCTTCATTATAATGTTCCATTTTCATTCCAACATATAAATAATCATCTCTATTTTATTTTATATCTCATGATCCCATGAATCAAAAATTTTGAAATTTGGCAAGAATACTTCTATGTAGGAGGATTTTAAATTTTGAAGATTATGAGTCAGGGAAATTGAGAAGCAGAGAGTCATATCTCAAGTTGGGTCAGACTTAGTGAAACTTTTACTCATTACTACATTTACAATTTTTTAAAAATTGGTCTTAATCACAAAATAAAGCTTTGCCTTTTTTACTAATTTTTATAAATTATAATTGAAAATCATTGAGGCTTCTTTTAAGCTCTTGTTCAAGTACTGAGAAAGTTGTGCAAGAGCCAAGCCAGTTTATAATAAAAATTACATTATCTAATAATTATGTATTTTTAAGTTAAACTGTTCTTTAAAACAATGTTATAATTTATTAAATGTATTATGTTTGAAACAATTTTATTTAAAATTTTCTTTCAAATATCAACAACCTCTTAACTTAAGAAATTTTGAAGTTTTTTATGAAGTTCCTAGAAAGAGAGTACTGCTTCTAATTGAATCAAAGGAATGTTATAGGGAATTCTGCTGCTTTAAGTTTTATAAATCAGTATCAGATTTTCTCTATTGTGAGAGAAAATCTGATACCATTAAGTCTTTAAAAACTGATGTTTTCTCAAAGACTTAACAGTATTAAAGACTAGTTTTTAAAGTCATTTTAAATCTTAAAAAAAAACCAAAGTGTTCAATAATAAAGCTGTTTAAATTCACTTTCAAGAGCTTTGGCAATTTAGGATTGTTAGGCTTTCAATCTCAAAACTGATTCTAAAGTTTATTAAAAGAAGTTTTGGAATATATAAATTAAATAAATGTATATTTTATTATTTTAAAAATTTCATTTTGTTAATGTATGATGACAAGACAATAATAAAATTTCTTACTTCTTTCCCTTCCAATTTCTTTTGTTCTTGATAGTGAGTTATTATTTCATTCATATTGGTATCCAACACAAGGCCTCCCATTACAAATTCATTAAGTATGTAATGAACCTAAATTAATTAAAATTACAGGTAAGTATATTTTATAAAACTATTTATACAATATATAAATATACATCACATTAAATTAATTATGCTTAGCAGATAATACCATGCCAACTGATACATCATGCTGTGTAAACTGTAGTAATGTATTTATAGGGAAAGTGAGCTGGATACATTGTCCCCAGGGATGCAAAGCAGTTTTTTGTGCTACATGCCTCAATGTAAAGAATTTAAGTTTTAAAGACTTCTAAATTTGCACAGAGATATAAATATGAGCAACATATTGGCAATGATCTTGCAAATGAACAGGATAAGTTGATGAATGCTTGTGCTATTTGTTGTCTTGAATTTGAAGAAAAACTGCAGATTTTAAAGCATAGTGGAAAATGTAAATTAAGATTTCATGTAAGTTGTTTAAGTATTACTGAAGAGCTGATTGAGGATACCAGGGAAAATTTCAAGATACTTATGTTCTTCCTGTCAAAAGCTAGGTGACAATAGTGAATCAGACACAGATTGCATATTCTATAAAGGAAAGTGAATATGATTGTTTATTTACATAAATAAATGAGTTAAAGGATGTTATATTGAAATTAGTTGATACAGTATTGCACTTGGAGAATAAGATATGAAAGTTAATGGAAGATGATATAAATTTGGCAAAGATGACGTTGAATTTCATGTTAATCATAATATGCAAACAAAAACAAAATGATAAAATTTTCTGAGTTTGTTAGAATCTAGTCCTTCAGTACTTTCTTTTGAACTAAGTACTTTAAAAATGTTTAGTTCTTGTGCTGAAGCTGTCAAAAAGGGTCAATCAGTGTTAATTCAGACTTATAAAATTGGTACAGAAAACAGGAATTTTTCATCTATAGAACAACAGAGAGACAAGATATAATATATACTCAAAAATACAATAAAAAGTAATCAGAAAATTCACATTTTAAAAGTGGCAACAACCAAGATATAATTGCTTGTAAGCTATTTACATCCTGATAACTACTGTGACAGATATTTTGTCATATTTTCCAGGTGAAGAAGCAAAACAGGTTTTAGATATATATAAAGTGCATAAATTTCTCAACATATACTTTGTTTCATCTACTTTTACCAGTAGTTCAATTATTTGAAAAAAAATTTTTCATCTGAATTTTAGTTAAATGGTTCAATAATACATGAGATTTTTGGAAAATTACATAGTTCTCAAATTTACAGTATGGAAGATTATAAACAGCAAGTGAATAATTCGGTTTTTACAAAGGATGGAAAGGAGATAATGCACAATGATGCTTAAGAACCTGTGATTACATATGGTAGCAGCAATTTTCCACACCTAATAGATTGTGGGCATTTTTCACCAAATTTGGTTACTTCCATGATATTTTCATACAACATGCTATCCATTTGAGTGTGTAAAAATTTTTGTTGAAAAAACATTCCATTTGTCAGTCTCTCTCAAAACAAAAACACTATAGAAAATTTTTCCTTATTGTCACAGGATTGCATACAGTACTTAATATGACAATTTTCCACACTAATTTCATGATGTCATGGATGGTTGTCAGTTACACATGATATGGTATGTGGTCTGTAAGTCATTATGACCTTGAATGCTTGTCTCTAAGATAGTCTGGGTTGATATGACCTTCAACAATTTATTTGCTTTCATGGTTTTATTTTGAGCCCAAAAAGTACAAAAGAATCCTTTTCTGGTCCTCTGAAAAACATCTCAACCCTCCTGTCATTTATTTCTAGATAAACTCATTTTACATTAGCCTGTGCTATTTCAAAGTTTGAAGAGTTTCCTATGGGAGTCCAGTCAAGGACATTGTTTTGTATACAGAACAATCTCATAATATTCAATATCTATGATGTTGAAATTTGGCATATTCAGAGAAGATATATTACAAAATTTTTCAGAATCATCAAATTTAGGGAATGACAATTATATGCAGTATGATTATGCATATAATTGAAAAATCTGCAGAATAATATTGTCTTATGCATGAAATCCTGTAAAAAAAACTGCATGTTATCACAAGCTAGTCATCACAAGTCACTCACAATACTGTTCATATATTTACTGTAGTATAATGTTAACAATATTTGCAGATGGAATTAAAGCTAGAATGATCACAGAAAAAATCAAATTACAATACAAGATCCAAATTTCAGTGTGTATTGTAAAATTGTTTAAAATGCTTTAGCCTATTTCTTATAAAATATTGTAAATATACATAAAAAGTTACTTACCTTATCTATATGAAATATAATATCCAATTCACAAACGTTTTCAAAGCACTTATCAAGGGTTTCTACAAAAACCTAAAAAGTTATACTTTATATTAAATCTTAAACTCAAAATTACATCAGGATATTTTATAATTTAATTACATCAAAAATAATGGTTTAAAAAAATTTAATTAATTGAACAAAGTAACTTCTGGTAAATATTCCATTGTTTTTATTTTTATGTTACAAATTTTAATAAAGTTATCTTAATAAAAATCATTTAATAGCTTAATATTAAAGTACTTATTATATTTTTTTTAACTTTCAAATATGTTCAATTTTTAGTATATAAATTTAATTGTATAGTTGAATCTACTTATAAGCAATCACTTTGGGACTTGTCTAAACTGATGATAATTGACTGATAACTTTAAATAAAGTATGTAAGTAAACTTTAAATGGGATAGATAAATAAGAGTACAATTAGTGAAAATTATGACATTATTGATTGACATTAAAAATGTATAACTCAAAAATTTGCTAAATAAAATTAATTAATTAATATCTAATTCATCCAGTATTAAAGTATTTTGGAAAAAAACCCTTATTCATTATGAAATACAGTGGTACCTCGGTATACGTCTGCTTTAGAATACGTCCAATTCAGAATATGTCCTGTTTGGACGAAACAAATCTTGTTCGGTATACGACTTTTGTTCGGTATACCGAACAAAATATTCAATTATATATGCCATCTATGAACAAGTAGCACTATCGGTGTATTAGACCAGACTAGATGTTCACGGTGCCACAGTTTATAACTTCGTTAAATTTCTTTTGATTTTAATTTGTAAGTAAAATGTTATTATTTTTATTAATCATGAATTGCAAAAAAGGAAACAGAAAAATTAAAAAATGACTAAAATCACAATGGAACTGAAAAAAGAGATTGTTGAGAAATATGAAGGTGGCATGCGTATTCGAGATTTAACTGTTGCATGCCGTATTCCGAGAACGACGATATTGACAATCGTGAAAAATAAAGACATTATTAAATCTGCTAATGTTGCGAAAGGGGTTAAATCAATTTCTAAACAGAGATCGAAGACATTAGATCGTATCGAGAAATTGCTTTTGCTTTGGATAACTGAAAAACAGTGTGCTAGCAACAGTGTATCAGAAGCAATTATTTGCGAGAAAGCTAAAAAGATACATGCTGATCTCATGAAAAATCAAGCTGGAACTAGCAAGGAAAGCGAGGTGTTTAAAGCCAGCCATTTTTTTACATGAGAACGGAGTAATCATTTTTACATTACTTCTTATGGGAAAAATTGGTTTGGTATACGTCCTATTCGGTATAAGTCCAAACACCAGGAATGGATTAAGGTCATATACCGAGGTTCCACTGTATAATTTATTCAAAACATAATGCAAAATGATAAGACTATTCATGTGAATGGCACAATACATTGGCAACAAATTTGTAAGACAAATAGTACTGAGGTTTTCTTATTTCATATCACAGAAAACTGTAAAATGAACTCCCAACATAAGGTTTGACCAACAACTGTTTGGAATTTTGGTCAACTTTTTCTTCATCTTATGAATCAATTTCCTATTTGATTTTGCAAGTCAATGATTAATATATGGTAGACCAATCCTTTATAAGCTCAAAATTATTCAATTGATCAGATTTAAGGTATGTTTGGAAGGTTTCTTTGGGCATGAAAATAATGCCCAACTCAATCAGTTTTGCATGAGTCTTTTGAGTCTTGATCACTGATTTTGTTGTTATTTTGTTTAGTTATGTTTATTTTAGAAATTTTGTTTAATTTAGGATGAGTACTTCACTCTCCTAACAAGTGTGGTGGAGTCAATAAACAAAAAGTCCAACTCTGACTACAGCAAATTTGCAATGTGTGACTCTGACTCAGACCTTACCCTTTTTAAAATGTTACACTATGATTCCTTTTATAAGAAAAAAAACCATTGGTTACCTGAATATTTTTATCTAAAATTTTTCTGTAAAAAGTAATACTAAAATTGATGGTAAGAATAAAAAAATTCATATAATGAATTTACCTTGGAAAACTTTCGAGTACATAAAGAAATACACTACATCTTAAAAGCCAAAAGAATTCCATTTCTATTACTTAATTATGAAAAATTTATTTAAATTTGATTAGTTTCAAAAATAAAAATAAAATACAATAAAACAAAAAAATAATTTGATAAACAATGTAATAAATTGGTCCATAAAATATTTTCTCCCGCTCTGATTACAATGGGAATAGTTAATTTCCTACCAACAGTTGACTAAACTAAAGTATATTGCAGAATTTTAAAATATAAAATTTGGAAAAAAGATCAATCATCTTGAAGCAATGGGGTACAATCGTGCCCTGAGAACCAGTGAATAATAAACTGAAAGAATCCTAATTAATTATATTTTGGAGTTTTCTCTTAATTTTTTAGTTTGTTGCAGTTAGATTCTGATCTTGGTTTTACTTTTTTCATTGTTTTTCTATTGACTGTTGTAAGACCAAATAATGTTATACAAGCAATAATAAATAGTCATAAATAACTCAAAACCAATAGAAAGGCAGTGAAAAATTAGTCAAGAAACAATTGATACCAAGTAAAACATCTGAAATGTAAAAAAAATATTGCACCAAGTTAAAATTATGACATCTAAAATGAAAGTCAAATTTTTTCTTTGAAGCTTCTCTTTGGTAAAGATAAGCTTGGCACTTTAAAGCAATACCATAAGTGTTTACTTTCCAGGTGCAATTCCATGACTAACTTCAAGTGTTCAGTGATTTTATCCACTTGGTCATTGATGGGCCTTAAATTAATAAAAGCTATTTTCTGAAAGTACAGAACAGAGATGTCCAACCCACAGCCCACTTAATATTTTTATGCAGCCCACTGCAACCTAAATTTTTTTACGTACATTTTCATTTATTTTGGAAAAGAGTGTTGTAAAAATTATTCTTGTTTCACTGGATACACTTTGATGTCTTAATGATGTAATTTTTGCTAGAAAACCATACTACCCCACATGCATAACATTCTGTTGTGAACAATTCTTTTCATGCATGAAATACATGAAAACGGCTGAAAGAAATACTCGTAGGTTAAGTGATTCCCATTTAACTAACATTGTTAGAATTAAGACTAGTATTATAAAAGCAGATATTGACAAAATTATAAAAGGAAGGCAATGTCAAAAATTGCATTAAATTTATTTTTATTTTGTGCAAGTATAATTATTTTTACTGTCAATAATACAGTATTTTATGTAATTATATATATTTCTTATTAAAGTTTGATATTCACGTTTTCAACTTTTTAAAAGCATATATTTATTTAAAGTACCGTAGTGGCCCACTGAATATATGTAAATTTCTAATTTGGCCCATTAGGAAAAAAAATTGGACAACCCTTAGTCAGCCCTTAGTCTAGAGTTTTTCATGTTACAACTCCCAACGTGTTAAAGGTGTCATGTGGTACCATCTGACGTCAAATTGGTAGTCTCAAGTTATAACTCATATGCTTTCCCATCTCACCATGTGAGTTCCTACTCACTTTGAGTTGAGCATGTGCGATCTCTACATGAAAGTGAAAATGGCTGATGGATATGCTATTCTGATTGGAATCAAAGCATAAGAAAGAGCTGAAAGAGTAGTTTAATAAGGCAATGAAATTTTTGACCACAAGTAGATGCCATTTCTTTTCATGTAAAGTCAACACTAATAAAAAAGTTTTAATTCATAATTGATAAAATTATACAGCAAATTTTTTCAAAAATAAAAAGAAGTATCTAATTCATCAAAAAAGAGAATTAAAATGATAGTAAATTATATGTATAAATTATTAAGAGCATAGACACTATATTAAGATTATTTATTAATCATTTTATTAAGTTCTGATTAATAAATAATCTTAATAGAGAAAACAATTTAAGAAATAGATCAAGGAAGAAAACTACATGAAAAAAGGATTAAATTAAAATATTTTTTCCATTATACAATGGATTTTTAGCTCCAACACATGCAATTAATTTTTTGACTAATTCTCTCTATAAATCAAATTGTCTTTTTCTTGTAAATTCATTGTCAAATTTACAAGAAAAAAACAATTTGTTACTAATATTTCTTTTTGTTCTTCATTCATTTTTAAAAATAAAACAGTAGAGGTTTCCGTTTTGTTTCTGCATACTATAATGCTATAAGACAAAACTTTTAACTGTAACACATGTAAACTAATTCACATTGATTTGTTTACAACTTGTTACAGTTAAGTTGATTGGTCGAATCATTATAGTCACAAACCCAGATGCATTGTAAATAATCACATTATGCTTAACGACATACATAACCAAGTATGATGTATTTCTGCTTGCCTTTCGAGTTTACATGATGGGTCTTACTCAAGACTACCAATTATGTAAGTCATACCAACATGAATGAGTTCAATAATGTCAATTTGAGTACAACGTGACAAACTTGAGACTAAGGGCCCTGGTATAGAACATGTCATGTGAGATATGCATAACATTTTGCCATGAAATGGCCATTATGTGTTGTATGTTGATATCTAAATTTATCAAACTGTAAAATTATCAATTTTAGAAATTTATATTCTGAAAAAGAAGTACTAATTTGCTATTTCCTAAAAGTATACAAATTTATACTCTTATTAAATATATTCAGTTTGAATACAAGAATGTCAAGAAACATTCTATCAGAAAACATTGTATGCTAGTACAGTATAACTTGGATAATTTGGTTGAAGGGACTGCAAAAGAAATTTGTATTATTCAAAACTTTGAATTAAGAAAGTTCAAATACAGACATTAAAAATATGTATATAAAATTTAATATTGTAATAATAAATTAACAAACAATTTATTACAATATTCATTACGATTACATTAAATTATAGATACTGTATTACATTACAGTATTTAATGTTATACATGGTCCTTTTGTCATTTATACAGTTTTTGTTTTTTTAAAATAGACACTGACTGTTGACTTTATACTGAGAATGAATAGTGTGAGAAGCTGGGGAGTTGATTAGTATTGATTTAAACCCTGTTGGATCAGCGACAGCCTGGTGAAGGCTGCTCAGTTGTCACTGGATGGCATAATTTATGAATTGTCATCAGAATTGCAAGATTCTTTCAACGTCAGGACCTGACACCAGTTAGGATAGTAAAAGTTTGCATCCTAACTTGCAATTTGTAAACAAATGTTGAGTAGGAGGGATAGTTCAACTGTTAAATGGGGAGCTCAATGGGTAAGTCAATAGGGTGTCCAAAATTCCAACTAATTGAGTCGACACCATGTTTAATAAAATAAAAATTTAAAATATAAAAATCAAAGTACAATATACAACTACTACAAAACATACAACTACCTGCTAAGCATATGCATGACTCTCGTGAGGTTCTAGAAAAATTGTTCCCACTCTATCTACTTCTAACTGAGAAAGAGAATTTACAAATATAACCTCAATGTAGAGTACCTTGTGTCATTCCAACTCGATGTTTCTAGATCCTGTTATACAAAGTCATCAGGATACTCATGGATCAAGGTCGAGGGTTTGATGTCGACAATCAGGAGAGAGACTCTTCCTGGATATTATCCAGGGAGCCGGGGAGACAGTCTGAGTGTCATTTGAACTAGTTAAAATTACTTCTTAGGTACTAATCACACTGAAAATCGGGTGCTCAGCCGCTATATCCCCATCAAATGTGGTAATTCGATCAGGTGACTATTTGTTTGTATTGATGACACTCTGAATGTGTCATTGCCGGGCTGGCTTGGGTAGTAAGAATTAGTCTATCTCAGGTGGATAGTTTACTCTTTCCTTCGATTGTTTGTAAATTCTCCCCGTGAGCTTGTTTAAATCACATATTAATAATTAGTTGTTATACCGTTATTTCAAACTTTCTCACATCAATGAGAGGGGAAGGGGACCTTTGCATCAAAGGTCCCCTTCAACATGAGTTTCTTATAAATCGGGTTTTTGCTAAACATTTACAAACAAAACATGCACCCATATCTCACAATGGATTTGGACAGAGATATGATGACTGGATAGAATTAAATATAGTAAGTACTGTACATATTAGGCATAGAAGTATGTAGAAAATTATTACATCATTCACTCACAAACATAGTTTAACACACAATTAAACATCCACAATCACAAATGCCATTATTGTTGCTAGTATCTTATTTAAGAACTGAAATCATAGAAAATTTTAGTGGAAATCATCTAATTTATTTAACAACTCCGAGAACAGTACTATATCATCTTTTTATAGATAATATATGTACAGTACAGAATTCAAGCATGTTGAAAGGTTTACATGATGATAAAAATATTAGCATTAAAACTGTATTCACCAGTCACCTACTTCAAATTAAAAACTAATTGAATAATCAGAAACTTCAGATATATTGTATTTTTCTATGTTTTATGGTTTGCTGTCATTCTCAATCTATCTCTCCTTAAAACTAAAAGGCAAACTTTTAACCCTGCGTTAGTGCACTAAGTTTTTTTTCGGCATTAGTGCAGTGGGGCGTTTGTCCACCCCGACATTTTTTTGGGTCCATAAACTATGTAAGTAAAAATTCATAAAGATTTACTCATTTATTTGGTAAAGGCATGTGTCAATATACATATGATTATATTCAGGTATGATTACATATTATATTAATACATAAATCCATGAAAATAAAAAACAACATTTATCAAAACTCATTACATTAGATCTTATTATTAAACCAATAGTAAAAATCTAAATTGTTTTTTAAGCATTTTCGTCACTCTGATTCAATAGCTGACATTGTACTTTGGCACTAATTGCAAATGACAAGCAACTTGCTATGTTTGGTATTTTCTCAATGTGTTTATGAAAGTCAGCCATTTTGAATTAAAATAAACTTAAATTATTTTTATTCACATTGATTATTATATCTATATTATAAATAATAAATATGGTCACATTATAGTTATTTGAAAAATAAAAAAAACTAAATAAATATTTGTAAAATTTAAAAAAAAACGTAACTAATACTGTGGTGTGTTTGGACACCCCACTGAGAACTGTTGTTTTTCTCTTACTGGAATTTCTGCTGCATCGTAGTAATTTCTGAGCATGCTCTATATATAAAATCATGAAGCTACTAAAGAGGACACAAATATTTCTTGCAAAATCTATGAATAGTGCAACTTTTAAAATGTTGGGGGTGGAGAAACACCCCACTGCACTAGCCCAGGGTTAAGTAAGCTGAGGCTAAGAAATGTGCTGGATACTCTGGAATTTCCTAATCAACATTACCAATATTGGTGTCTAAATATATATTTTATCTGAATACTGCAGGTGATTTTTTTTTTAAAACTTCTTACAATTTTACACTGAATTAATTAAAAAAAATCAAATTAAAAAGGAATTTTTTTTACATTACTGTTATACAAAATTCAAGGATCCGGAGAAAAAACTCACATTATCTACAAATTCAAATCAAAAAGTTTGAATTATCCAAGTTCTACTATATTATACATAGACAGAATGATAATTTTTGTAAGTTTTAAATATAAAACTTTAAAAAAAACACAACTTCAAAAATATTTAATAGTTTGAAAATGAACTAAAATTAAAGTATTTCATTATTATATTTATGCTTCTTACTTTTAAATATAAAATATTTAAAAATATTTAAAAGAATATAAAAATAATGTTTTCTTAGTAACTCTGGAGTACAAAGAGAAAATGTTTAATTTATGTACATTTATGTAATTTAAATAAATTTTATACATTAAATTTATTAATAATAAAATACTTACTTGAATAATATCTAGAATACCCAATTCACTTTCTGATGAATCAACACAAAATACAAAGTATAAAGTGGCATAATGTCTGTAAATTAACTTATAATCTGATCCTCCTATTAAACTGAAAATTAAAAGTTATCAAAGTTTTAAATCAAAAAAATAAAATTTTTCTGTGTTTCAAATTAGCTAAGAAAAATATCATATTTTCTTGATTCTAAGATATTCTTTTTTATAGTATAATTTGCTTCTTGGATGACTATGTTAATTTTCTTTTGGGTTATAAGTTTGGGTTTAAGGTATTAAACCCAAACTTATAACCCAAAGTCATTTGTGGTTGTTATAATAAGTTTTGGTTTAAGGCATATTAATTAATAGCCAATAGAAAATTATACCATTTTTATACATTTTCACTTGTCCAATGTATAGGTACTGTACATCTTAGAATTCAGAAAGTCTTACATTTGAAGCCTAAAACAATAATCACAAGTGAACCACATGATATGTTATACACCAATAATAGATGTTTTTGGATATAATATTTATATATATTTACAGTTAAATCACTTTAAATAAGCTTTGCTGGTAAAAAGAATTTAATTTAAACTTTTTAATTTTAAATTTTAATGTTAAAAAGTCTTCAAGACATTAAAATGCCACATTAAAATGAGTAGTGACTGCATCATGCATCAAAACACAAAAATAAAACTGTCAAACAGCATTTATATTGTTTTTTTAACTTGTTACCTAACAAAATTTAATAAAATGTATTCTTTAGAAACTTTTTTATTTTCATCAAAAACCTTAAAATTCAATTTTATACTCATAATACAGTATATCCTAGAATCAATGGTATCTTAGAATTGTGGAAATATACAGGGTGGACCAAAAAGAATATAAGAATATTTCAAACTGATATATTTAATAAACTGTAAGACATACAACTATGGAACTTGGGACACATATTTATGAAACTCTCTAGTTTAGATTACAGGTGTTCAATATGTCCTCCACCAGCGACACGAACAATATCACACCGATACTCAAATTCCTGCCATACTCGACTAAGCATGTCCGGTGTCACTGATGTAATGGCAGTACGGATCTGGTTCTTCAACTCATCGAGGTTCTGTGGTAGTGGAGGAACATAGACGGTGTCCTTGATGGACGGGGTCCATCAAGTTGCCCGTCAATCCAACGGTCCGAACGGGAGTTCCGTCCGGGTGTCCGGGAACCGGGGTCCGGGCGGGAGTTTGGTCCAGGCTTCATAACTAACCTGCGTCTCAAAACACGCCAAACTGTTGTTTTAGGCAGCTGCAATTCCCGACTGGCACGACGTGTTGATTTTGAAGGGCTACGTTGGTAAGCAGCTTGAATCCGTGCGACATTTTCTTCAGATACACGAGGTCGGCCAGGACTCTTTCCTTTACATACACAACCTGTGTCAACAAACTGACGGTACCATCTGCGAATGTTCCATCCATTCGGA